AACCAGAGTCTGATTCTCTTTGACTCTTCATCTTCTGTGCCAGAGATGAATTTACATGTGATTACTCGATCTTCTTTCAGTCCCAGGAGTCCACATTGAACTTCGAATGGTGGATTCATTTGGCCAGCTTTGGTTCTCTGTATCCACCAGCCTGTGCGCCCTGCAGTCTCTGCTTCTTCATCCTGTTTCCCGTTCATTGGCTTCCACCAGTCAGGAGAAGCCCGAGGTGCATAAGATTGAATTTACCTATTTCTATAACAGTAGAAGCCATTCCTTTCTGTTTTTTTTTAAATTAAATGCTTTTATTGGGAGCTCTTACATCTCTTATCACAATCCACACAATCATCCGTTGTGTCAAGCACATTTATACATATGCTGCCATCATCATTTTAAAAGCATCTTCTTTCTGCTTGAGCCATTGATATCAGCTCCTCATTTTCTCCACTTCATCCCCTGCTGGCCCTCCCTCATGAACCTTTGATAAGTTATAGATTATTATTTTCATATCTTACATCATCCTCTGTCACCCTTCACCCACTTTTCTGTTGTTCTGCCCCCTAGGAGGGGGCTATATATTGATCCTTGTGATTGATTTCCCCTTTCTACCCCCCTTCCCCCTGACCATCCTCCTGGTATCGCTACTCTCATTGTTGACCCTGAGGAGTTTATCAGTCCTGGATTTCTTGTGTTGTGGGCGCTTATCTGTAGCAGTGTGTATGCTCAGGTCTAATCTGATTTGTAAGGTAGAATTGAGGTCATAATAGTGGGGGTAAGGAAGCATTAAGGAACTAGAGGAAATTTGTTCCTCTAGTGTTTTTCAGGGCTATACTGTACTCTGACTGTATCATCTCTTCCTTGTGAACCTTCTGTGAGGGGGTGTCCAATTGTCTACAGATGGATTTTGGGTCTCCAGTCCACGCCCCACCCCAGTTTACATTGGGTATGATTTTGTTCTGGGTCTTAGATGCCTGATACCTGGTCCCATTGACACCTCATGATCACATAGGCTGGTGTGCTTCTTCCATGTGGGCTTTGTGGCTTCTCAGCTAGATGGCCTATTTTTTTTACCTTCAAGCCTTTAGGACTCCAGACGCTATATCTTTTGATAGCCGGGCACCATCATTTCTTCACCACTTTTGTTTATGTACCCATTTTGTAGAAGCCATTTCTTGATATAAATCTCTTTCTATATGCAACACATACAAACGTCATAGGTTTTGTTTCTTGAGAATGCAACCTAAGATATTAGACACAAGGCCCAAATGTAACAATATCACAAAAGGCAATATATGTATGAAAATAGCATTTACACCATCATCTGAAGTTGCCAGTTATTGGCCAACCTCCAAAGCCAGCAACTAAATCCAAAGTGTCTGACAACCAAATGCATGGATTTGGAGAGCAGCTTGCTCCTGCTTCTTGCCCCATGGAGTAAGTTATAGCTTTAAGTTAAATGTAATATTTTGGTTCACCTAATCTTCAACTGGTGTGCCTAAAGTCCAATCCTTTCAATGTAATATTCCCCACAATAATTCTGATGTGGTCTGTGAAGAATGCTGTACAACTTGGAAGGGGGAAATCTAAAATCCAGGTACCCTGCAGTACACAGCCAGGGTCACAGAGGTTTTAAACAAGTTAGTGAGAAAAAAAAAAAAAGATTGATTAGCAACATGATAAAAACTTCATCATAGTTAACCGGTGTCTTATAAAATGAGAAAAATCCACACAGAGACACTCTCTGTGGGAAGTCAGACACCAAGGAACTCTGTAGGTTACCAACAAGCAGGGAACCTCCTTAGAACTCATGGCTGATTAGACTTTTAGCCTCGACAACTGTGAGACAAGGACTCCTGTTCTCTAGTCTCCCACTTACCGTATTTCTCATAAGAGCAGCAGGGAAGTAAGAGAGTTGGCAGCTAAGAAAGATATCTGCCTTAGTTGGTTTCAAGGTGCTAGCCCCCTACCAGTATAATCCAGGACTTCAGGCCTGTCCTCTGCTGACCAGGCCTCCCGACTTCTCTTCCTCAGAGTATCTCAGCCCAACCTGGCCTCTCATCCCTTCCCTTTGTACATTGACCTGCATCATCCTGGGACCAATAGTGAGATTCAACAGGTTTGCTTCGGTTCAGCAGAACTGATTCTGAATTCTTTGTTCAGTTTGGTAAACCAAGTGTTAAAATGGCCAATGTAATTAGGCTTCTCTGCCCAGCTGACCAATGTGGAAATCATAGGTTTACATTCCTCACTCCCTTTGAGCATTCATCTGCACACTACATTCTAAGGGCCCACAGTTAATGTTCATCATGTTCATAAATCCAAAAAAATTAGATGGAATTATGCTTGTCATATTTCTTTGTTCATTTCATAAAATTGGTTATACTTTTGATGAAGGACTACATTTTTTATTCCCTTGTGTTTCTTACTTTAGCACACAAAGATATAATGTAAAAAGGAAAAGTTTAAAAACCAGAGGGTAACAGGCTGTCATTGGTTTCAGCTTTGCATTATGTCCCAACTCCCATGAGATACTATGAACGACTTATGCAATTCCTGAGCATGCTCAAAGAATTAAAAGTCCTGTCAGAACAAGCACTGTCAGTTAAGCAGAACCTGAAAGGAGTTTTTCATGGATGAACATAATATGCTCCAAGAATGGAAGTCACCTAACTATTTTGAATACATCAAACGCAATGACAATGGTGTATGGCCAACTTTTAAAGGAATAGGATTCTATTTCTAAAATGAAAAGATGGTTAAGGATAAATCACACAGGTTAGAATGCTAAGATAAAAGTGAAGAATATTCCAAGATGTCATTTGAGAATCAATATGGAAATATCTAAGATAACCTTTTATTGGTTTTTATGTCAGGTATTATTTAATCATTTTCATTAATATTTTAAAACCATTTCTTATAACACAATAATTTGTTTTTAAAAACAGTTTTAAGGCACTTCATCCACATATTTACAATTCCATCATTTCTTATAGCACTGTCTGGTTTTGTGCACCTTGTTTATTCTGCTTTTAAGCCTCAACTCTCTGAAATAATAAACTGCCTTTTGCGATACCATTTTTTAGATACTTAAAGCGACCACGAGGCAGTGAACAGGTTGTTATTTTATTTGACTCCCAACCCTTCCTTTGACCCTCGGGATGTGGGTTTAAGATGTGGATCCAAGAAATTTTGGACCCTGTTCTTTCCTGGCTCTTTGCTGGTCATCCCACTGATTTCTGCCCTGCTCCCCCTTCCAGTACTGCATGTGACTTGTCCCTCAGGGACGCGTGGGACAAGTCTCCCGTGCTGCTCCTAGGGGCTCTGTGCCCAGGCACCAGCATGGTCCTCAAACCTCCTCACACCAACCATCTCAGACACTGTGGTCACTGCTCCTGGCCTGCTGTGCTCAACCAGCTGGTGCTGTCGGAGTGGACCAAGAACTGGTCACTCAAGGTACTGGGCAGAGCAAAGCAAAGTTCCTCTAACAAAGGAGATGGCTGTCATTTGGGACCTGCCCTGGACCAAATGGAGAGCCTGCCTGATGGTCACTCATCAGCTGGAGAAGAAAGTCCACCATTGTGGAGGAAGTGCGGGGGCCCGAAGCCAGTGCAGGAATGTGAGTAAGGGCCGATGTGCTGGGCCCATGCCGGCCTGATCTAGTGATAGGGTCTGGCCCCCAAAAGACTCAATGGGTGTCACTGTAGAAAGAATGTCTCTGTTATGTACTCAACTGGCTAAGGACATTTTATTGGAATCAAACATCAGGACAACATATTTCTAGAAAATGCAAACAAGGGGCTGCAGAAAATGGAACAGAATTCCATAGAGCTCTGTACAGGGCGGACTTGTCCTTGCCTTGCATGGCTTCCTTCTGGCTGGGCCACTTTTCTTCCAGCAGGAAGACTAGGCTGGCCCTTCTGGGTGGCCTGAGGCAGGACTCCACTGGGCATTTGCTCAAAGGCAAGATGGAAGACAGGTATCCCAGAGAAGCATGGACCCTGAATTTGTCTGTCTCAGTTCTCCATCAAGGCTTTGATGGCCAAAGGACATCCCTTAGAGACCCGTCACATTCTAGCCCCATGCTCATTGTCCACGGCCCCCTTTTCCAGAAGCCAATATGCCACCTCTAGGACACACACTGTTCACTTGGAGCACGGCAGGCAGGTGTCTCTAAAGGGGGCTGCTCAGCCACTCGACTCTGGAATCTGATGGCCTTCCTGGTTGGCATGGAGTTCCCCTTCACCACAGACCTCCCTCCTCCCTTGAACTGTTGCCAGGCCATTCCCATGTCCTCCTGGGAGGGACGGTCGGCCCTTCAGATGGAGCTGTGGAATGGCAGGTGGCCGGGATGCTGTTGCTCCCTCTGCTGTCATGTGCAACGGAAGCTGAGGTCACCTGTTCACGGGCTGGAGCCCCACATCTGAGGGCACCGCAGCAGTCTGGAATCTGATGGGAAGCCTCTTCTCCAAGCCAGAGACAACCCTCTCTGCCCCAATGAACCTCACCAGTGCTTCATGCTGGTCCACAGACATGATGGTGAGAGATGGGCAGCAGTCCACCAGGGGGAACTGGCCAGCAGAAGGGCACACAGGGCAGAGGAGTGTGCCCACTATGCTATGGTCAGTTCCTGGTTCACTGTCCATGGTCCAGGCAGTCCCTGCCAAGGTCTCTGAGACTCTGTATCTCTGCCCTGTGTCTGAATCCTATTGACTTGATCCAAGTGGACACAAGAAAACATGGCCCAACCCTTCCTAGTGTGGTATCTCAGCGGTGCTTGTGGTCCAATGGACATGGTGTTTGAGGATGGAGTCTGGCTATCTAGAGCTCTGTCTGTGTCCTGCAGCTCGTTCATGGGAATAAGGTGAGCCAGCGGGGCCGAGGGCAATGAGCGGTCAGGGCGACAGGTTCAGAGGTCAGCATAGGGCTTGGATGGAGGCAGAGCTGCTCGGTGGAGGGAGGATGGGGGTGGCAAGATTGCTGGTGTGTTCCTCTCTGAGCAACCTCTAGGCTGCCTGGCCGATCATGTTTCTGTAGTCAGGCACGATGGTGCGTTTCAGTTCCCCGACAGAGGAGAAAATCCAGTTCACCTGTGGGTGACACAGCGGTGGTCATGAGCAGGGCATCCCCAGACTGTCCCACCCTTTGCCCACCCTCTCAGGTGGGCAGCCTGGTTGATGGGCCTCTGCTGGTGAGCAGAAGAGCCCTGATGGGGGGCAGTGGGTTGGGGACTGGCTCAGGGCAGGGCCTTGAGATGCCGACCTTGAAGAGGGTGACGGTGGCGCTGTAACACACGCTGAGCAGGAAGAGGGTGATGAAGATGGAGATGGTGGTCCATAGCCCATCCAGCTCCCCGTCCTGGGCTTCTGCACAACTCTCATCTGGGTGCAGCTCTGGACAGGGGAACAGCAGTCAATAGAGGTGACTCTGGGGATGGGGGCTAGCTCAGTACCAGGTGGACTGGGGTGCTGGCATTTCCTGGTGATAGGGGCCCATTGATAAGAGGGTGGCCCTCTAATCCCTTTGTGGGAAGGTCAGGGCCAGCAGAGACCCCAGGCCAACCAACTTTGGTTGCTCTTGGAGCTCTCTGGAAAGGGCCTGCTCCCTCCTCAGACTCGGCTAATGTGCAACGGGCAGTTCCTTTCCTACAGCTTGGGTCCCTGCCCACTCGGACCCATGGCTGCACTCAACCCCGCCCAACATCACCTCTCCCTTGGCCACACCCTGGGCACAGGGTAGTCAGGGCTGCAAAGGGGCCATCTGTGGACAGGGTCATTGGAAACCCCCCCTGCATGCTGAAGCTGCCTCCTCTACCTAGCCCCTAACCCCTGCCCCCACCCTTGAGTGAAGGCCCAGGGAGCAGGAGGGCCGGAGAGTCCTCCCTCCCAGGGAAGCCCAGTGCTGAGTAGGGAGCCCTTGGCATCAGGGCTGGTGAAAGACATATGATTCTGGCTATGAGGGGCAGGTGTGTGAGAGTGCAGGCCGGTGGTTGTGATTGTGGCCATCAGGGCAGGGAGTGTGGAGCTCTGGGGAGCCCAGCTGAGCTGCCCACTGGAGAAGGCTTAGAGGACTGGTCTGGAAGGTGCTTGGCAGCTCTGCAGGTGGGCAGGCTCCCCTGGGCTCATCAGGTTCCCGTGAATGGGAATGGGCAGGGCAACATCGGATGTGGTGGCCTGAGGCTGGTGAGCCTGTTTCTGGATCGCAGCACTGTGTTCCCCAAGACACCAGGGCAGATGTTATGCCATTTGTCCTGTGTGAGGCCCATAGGTGTGTGCTCAGGCCCCTGGTGCGCCTGTGTGTGAACCCGAGTTCTTTTGAGGACATTTGTGTTTCTTGTGTCTGTGTGTATGCACACGTGTTTATGTGTGTGTGTATGTATGAGCGTGTATGTGTCTGAGTTCGTATGTGCTCAGGCATTAGTGAGGACACTTGTGTGCATATCGTGTAAGTGGGTGTTTCAGTGAGTGTTTGTGGCTATAACTGTGTGTCTGTGTGCCTGATACATGTGTGCTTGTGTGCTGGAATGCGAGAGAGTGCAAGTGTGTCTGTGTGTCTCTGTAGATATGTGCCAGTATATCTACGTATGTGTAAGTGTGTCTGTGTGTGTAGATGACTATTCAGTGTTGACATGTGGGCCTTGAGTGTCCGCATGCCAGTATGTTTGTGCATGTGTGCCTGCACCTTCCACGTGTGGGCTTGAATGTGGATGAGTGCATATGTGCCCTTGTGTGCATTTATTTGCACGTGTGTGCATGGGTATTGGTGTATGTTTGTGTGTACATGTGCCTGCATGTGGGATTTTGTGGGCATGAATGTGAGTGGGTCCATGAGAGCTTACGCGGGGATACCCATTCATAATAGAGTGCATCTGTGCATTTGCGTGTGCACGTGTCATTTTGTCAGTGCTGGTGCAGGCGTGTGTCATGCGGATCGTGGGGATCGTGGATGCTAGATGGATGTCCAGCAGGAAGGGCTTGGGTTCCATGGGTCTGAACTCAGAGTCTAGTGAATGTCTGTCTGGTCAGTGCACGGCTGCCGAGTGGCTGTGTGGGGAGCTCTCTTCATGGGGGACCAGTGGAAATGAAGGCTCTGTCTCTACCTGCAGGGGCTTCCACATAGACACAGAGCCACCATGGGGAGCTCTCACAGGCCCTGTGGACAGGATCCCTGGGACCCCGCCTGCCAGGGGCATCCCCCAGCCCTGGTACTGTCTTCAGGTGAGAGAAGCTGCTGGTTGGAGGTGGGATGCAGAGAGGGCTCTTCTGGTGAAGGAGCTGTCCCTGCACTGGCTCCCTGTGCTCTCCCTCAGCACTGGCACCACTGTTCCTGGCCCCGCCTGACCCTTAGCCTGGGAGAACTGGGCTCCCATGGGCCTCCGAAAGAACCATGCCAGTCTTGAGGGACCCCAGCGCTGAGCTGGATGCTTTATTTTCAGAATGAATCTGCTGGGGGGAGTAGGCATTTACAGGGAGGTTCCATGTGTGCTTGGGGCCCCAGGATGTGGAGCGGGCAGTGCGCCCACACTCATTTACCCGGGGACCGAGAGACCGCCTTCTGGGTGTAGTGGTTGTGCAGGGCCTCGTGCATCACCACGCAGTGGAAAGTCGTCCCTTGTTCCCAGACGTTCCTAGGCACCGTCAGCTTACTGTACAAGAAGAAGGTCCCGTCGCCCTCCACTTGGGGAGGTGTGTTCACATAGTTGGCCTCAGGCTCGGGCCGCTCATTGCTCTTCCACTCCACATCTATGTCAGCGGGGTAGAATCCCTTCACCAGGCAGGTGAGGCTGACCTTGTTCTTGGTCAGCTCATCTCGGTGTGGGGGCAAGGCATACACTTGGGGTTCTTGGGGCTGCCCTATAGGGATGGGGATAGCAAGACGTTATTCCCAGGGGGGAAGGGAATATCTGCCCATCCCCACTTCCCTCATGAAACCTCACCTTTGGCTTTGGAGATGCTCTTGACAATGGGTGCCGGCAGGGCCCCGTTGTTGACCTTGCACTTGAACTCCTTGCCCTTGAGCCAGTCCTGATGCAGGATGGGGAGCACGCTGACCATGCGGATGGTGCTGTTGTACTGCTCCTCTTGTGGCCCGTTCTTGGCTGTGTGCACCTCCTTGCCATCCACGAACCAGCTGAACTGGACATTGGGGTCGTCCTGCCCCACGTCCACTACCAGACATGTCACCTCTGGGTTTCGGGAGATCATGAGGGTGTCCTTGGGCTTGGGAGGGAAGATGAAGACAGAGGGTCCTCCTGGAACCTCACCTGGTGGGGAGAATTGAGGTGAGTGACTAGGTGCAAGGGCTTGAGGAGTAGACTGGGCTTGTCCACTGGGGCTGACTACTTCGCTGCCAGGCCGTGGCTCGTTTTACCTGTGCACGGGGTGCATTTCTTAGAACATTCTGTTCCTTCGCAGTTGGATCTGGGCACTGGAGAGAGAGCAGACAGACAGGGGTTAGGTTCGCTCGGCGGAATGGAGATGGGTGCCCTGACTGGCAAAGGCGGGTTCTTCCCTATTGCTGTAAGTAGCTCTAAGGTTCAATGACTTTTGGTCTAGAGGGAGGGTTATAGGGGTCGGGCTTGTGCCCATCCTAATATCTGGCAGTGGGACACCAGGAAGGCACAGTCAGAGCCCTGTAGGTGGGTGATAGGCAGAGACCACCACTGGCCCTCCACCCAGGTTCCCAGGGTGATGCTGAACTATCTGCTGTGGATTTGTTAAGTGGGGGTGGGGGGAGGCTCTCGCTGGCAAGCCTGCCTCTGTCTCACCAATATTCTTGGTCACCGTGGTCTTGGTTGGTGTGTGGGTGACTTTGCAGGAGTAGACCTGGCTGGGCCAGCTGCTGGAGGGCACGGTCACCGTGCTGCTGACGGAGTAGAGGCCAGACGACCCCAGGAAGGGCTGGTAGGTGTGCACGCCAGAGTGGGCCTCCGGGCTCCAGGACACGGTCAAGGGCTGTGGGAAGTAGTTGCTCACCAGGCAGCCCAGGATCAAGGTGGAGTCGGGTGTGCTGGTGCTGCACGGAGCCAGAGGGAAGACCGACGGGGCAGTGATGCTGGCTGTGAGACAAGAGAGGAGGGCTTCCATGAGCAGATGCCTCCATGAGCCCACACCCAACCTTCTGTGCCCCCGGGAACCAGGTGCCCATTCCTGAAGAGCACACCTGCCCCGCACCCCAAGGAGCAGGCCTGGCCCCCTCCCAACACCTCTGTCATCTGTATCATGACTCCCTCCCTGGTGGTCCCCAGGATAGGCCCCGGTCTGGGGCGTCTCCGATTTTACCAGCTTGGCTATGGCTTCACCTCCCAGGCCTGGCCTCAGGCTGGCTGGGCCCTGACCACTGGAGTCAGCTCTGCCTGATGTCTCCCAGGCTCCCCCCTCCCTGTGGCTCTCCCAGATAGCTTCAAACAATCCATGTGGCCAAGTCTCCTACCTCCCTGGGTGGGTGTCACGTCTGGTCTTTCACCCTGGCCAGACTGTGGGGCCTGCTCTGCCTACCTCCTCAATGGCCTCTGAGCTGGGCCCCACCCTGGGAGCAACTCCCCCAATCAGGCCCTGCTTTGGAGTGGTGTGGGGGAGGGTAGTTGCTTTGGCCACACTTTCTGCCCAGAGTGTCTTGGGCCCTGCTCTTGATTTTCTCAGGCCCAGGCCTCCTTGAGTCCACCCTACCACCCAAATGCAGGGAACAAGGGACAGTGTTAGGGCAGGTCCTACTGACCTGTTCCCTGCCTGCCCTCATGGGCATGGTAGCCTCTGCCCCTCTGCTGCCCTCCACAAGCCCAGCATGGTCTCCTCCTCCCAATCTGCTTCTCCTGTTGGAGCTCCTGGCTCCTTCTAGCCTTGTTCCTGTGGCCCAGCAGGCCCAGCACCCACCCTGCACCCAGTGAGCTCCACTGATCCTACTTGTCCTCCTGGACCTTGATCCAACTCTGTGCTGTCCATTCTGTTTTCCAGCCTGAGTTCAGCTCTAAGGGTCCACCTCCTCCTCGCTCCACAACCCAAACCCCCAGCATCTGTCTGTCTCAGTCTCTGTCTGCAGGGCTCCCAGGATTCTGTTTATCTGTTAGCTTCTATGTGCAGGGCTCCCAGGCATCTGTAGGTTTCAGCTTCTGCATGACTCCCAGGATTGTCCATTGAGCTGAGTCTAACCTGCACCTGTAGGGGAACCCTCTCCATCACTGCTTGTGCCTGTGCTCTGAGCCCCAGCTTGGGGTGCCCATCATGCCCCTGTGTGCTCAGTCCTGAGACCCCAGTCCCCTTTCCCTTTCCCTCCTTTCCACAGCCCCTGTTGAGTCCCCCCATGACTGATGGATCAACTGCCTTGTGACCCCACCTTCTGGCCTCATGGCCTGGAGACAGAGCCCAGCCCTCTGGAAGAGCCTCTGTCTGGCAATCCCCCACACCTCAGCACAGGGGCCTCTGCCACCCAGGGTCCCCTCTCCACACCAGCACCCCTGTCTTCACCCAGCCCCATCGCTCCTGTCAGTGCCATCTCCAGCCTCTGCTCCCAGGCTGCCCTTCAGTCAGCACAGACCTGGTGCCTCCTGACCTGCTCAACCCAGGGCACAGGCCTCTCTCCCAGCATCTTGGATCCTGGCCTTGCAGGACCCTGTGCGTCCCAGCCTCCTGCCCTCGGAGGTGCCCTGCACCTCCCTAAGCACAGACCCTGCCTCTAGCCTCAGGCCCATGGC